TTGAGCTCCTTCTGCCTTTTGAATTCATCATCCCCCTTGTGTGACCCTTTTCACCATGACCTATGGTAGAACTCCAGCTTTCACATGGGCCTTCTAAACAGTGGAAAGGAAGAAAGGACAAGTAGGAATCAGCTGACTTTTAAGACAAGTTCCTCACATGGTGCTTGTGCTTATGTCTCATTGCCCAGAGCTTAGTAACCTGGCCATTCTTAACTGTAAGCGAGATTGGGACATGAAGTGTTCACTCTGAGTAGTCATATGCCTACCTAAACATTTTATTATTATTGAAGAAGGAAAGACTAGGTGTTTCAAAGCAAGCTGGCATCTCTGCCACAGGAAGGTAGTAGGTTATGCATTCTGACAACATGATCTTCAGATGAACTGATGATTGGAAGTTTTGTCATCTACTCCCATTCCAGATTCTCATGTCTATATATGTAAAAAGAAGAAGCAGGCTGCAGTTGAAAATGACTCAGATTACCAAGTTATTTTCTTGGGGGTCAAACAAATTTCAATTAGGGAAAAAATAGAAAATTTAGAAAAGATTTAAAGATAGAGGAGATTTTTAATATAGTGACAGTTGTTCACTATCTCCCTTATGTATTTTTTTCATATGCAGTATGTATTCTATCAGTGTAATAATAACTTCTTTGTGAATACTCTCAATTGGTACCTGTTTGACTCCACAGCACTTTTAACTCTCCACCTTCTCCTCATAAAACCAATAGCACAAAACTCCAGTGAGCTTTTGCCATGTCTGACCCTTAAGGGTTCATGTTTTCCATCTTTCTCCCTAAACTTCTAACTCCTACTATATTTCTGTTCTCTCAGTTGACCTTACTTAGTATTTCAATGAAAAATAAAAGTGAAGCTTGTGTGTCCTCAGGTGTCCCTTCACTGCCTGCCTCTCAAGCCATATTCTGCCCCCCACCTTGTACAGTGCCAGTCTCCCTGCTTCTGATAAAGGTTACACTGTTTACTTTTGTATACTCAAGCCCATTCCTTCTTTCTCTTTGTGTTGGCCAGCTTTCTGTTGCTATAACAAAATACCTGATATTGAAGGAAGAATGGTTTCAGAGGTTTCAGTCCATGGTGATTTGGCCTTGTTGATTTCAGGCCTGTGGTGAGACATTATACCATGGCAGGAGGTGTGACAGAGGAAAGGTTTTCCCACCTCCCAATAGTGCTACAAGCTGGGCACCAGGTCTTTAGCTTATGAACCTTTGGGAGACATTTAAAATCCAAACTGTATTACTCTATCAAGGGCTTTTCTCCTGCAAATATATCTTCTCTACAGATTTGCTGTCCTCAGTGTACATGCTCACCCATACACTATATTGAAAAAAGGATACCACTAATCTGTGAGCCACATACCTTTCTAGATATTGTCTCATTCTTAGCTGTCCATCATAGCAAAATATCTTGAAACCATTTTGCACACATCTGCTATCTGCAGTTCCTCACTTTCTTCCAGTTCAGCACTCTCCAATCTAGATTCCATTCTCATTCAGCTAAAGTGTGCATTTTAAGTGTCCACTTTGTTTCTAGGTGGACATGCCATATCACTTTCCTCATCTTACTTGACCTGTAATGCAGCATTAAATGTATTTGACTTCTCCATCCTACCTGTGTCAGAATTCCTTTTGTGGCTTTTGTGACATCATGCTTCCTTCTCTTTTCTTGCTATCGCTCCGGGTTCTGCTTGTAAGTTTTCTACATTAGTGCTCTTCTCAGCTTCTGAACGTGGAAGTGTTTTGAGCCTTAGTTCTGAGCCTTCTCTACTGACAGTTTCATAAACCCTTACATCCTCCCCCATGAGCTCAAGACTCATATCCAAATGCCTGCTTGACATCCATTTAAATGTTTTAGAAGTATGCTCTGTTTCAGCATCTCTAAACAGAACTCTTGATTTCACTACCCACTCAGTGGCTCACACTGAAAGCCCAGGTGACGCTCCCTCTCCTCTCTCCTTCGCCACATTCCTCCTCAGCGAGTCCTGCCAGTTCTGACTTCACAAAAGAATGGACCAGTACCGAGGCACCCCCACATGTTCTCAGAGACTCGGCGCCTTCCAGCTTTTTACTTCCCCATCCTAGTTCATGCCACAGCTTGAATGCTTCACTGCTTTGAAATTTTCTCCACCAGATAACTAATCCATCACTTTAAAGCTTTGCCTCCCATAAAGCATCAAGGTGTTTTTTTTTTCCCATTCTGATAAAGGTAACCTTTAGTCCAACTCCCAGCAGAATCCTCATTTCCATTTGAAACCTCATTAATATAACCTTTACTGTCCACATTTCTATCAACATTCTGGTCTTCTGAGCCAGATTTGCCCATTAAGCTCTTCTGACAGCTTTCTATGTGTTTTCTAGGCTGTCCCTCCAGATTCTTCCTGAGTCCTCAGATAAACCAGCTCAAGTCTTCTCCACACTGTCAGGTGGCCAGTGGCCTCACTTCTCACTACTAATTTTCTTGGCTAGCCAGCCATCGGTCATCACAAAATGCCTTAGTTAGTTATGAAAACAAAGGTTGGTTTTTGTCTCATGGTTTTAGAAGTGAAAACTCATGGTAAGTGAGCCCCTTGTCTTTAGATCCCTAGTGGGAGCTGGATGGCAGTGATGGGGGGAGCTGGAGGTGAGGTAGACTGCACACCCCATGGCCAGGCTACAGAATGAGAAGAGGAAAGGGCCAGGGTTTCACAGTCTCCTTCACTCATGTTGCAGCATGAAGCAGAACTCCTCCAGTGACCTGAAGCCCTCCTGCGAGGGCCCCTCCCAAAAGTCCCAGTGCCTCCCAGGTCCACTACTCCAGTAACCAAGCCTTTGATACTTGGGTCTTCGGGTGACACTGAACATCCCAGCTACAGAAAGGGCTAAGAAAACCAGTTAATTAACCTTGTTAACAATGGATACATTCAGAAATGAGCACACAGTTAGTGAGGGAGGCCTCATCCTTATCTCTTTCCCAGCTCTCTAGTCTATGTATGTAGGCACAGAGATACCCAGAAGCTGTCTTGTCAGAATTCTTACCCGTCTAGGCTCATAGGAAACACCAGAGAAAGCGAGAAATCAGGTGTGCCTCTTGGGCCATAAGGACTGGTTCTCAACGTCTGGGAAAGAGTGGTCTGCAGAATAGAGAAGGGCAACTGAGGAGGGTACTGTCTTGCAGGCTTTGGTTGAGAGAGGCCTCTCAGACACCTGGCTTTGCGGGCTCCAGGGCAGGGCACTGGTGGAGGAGAGGTGAGTGGTCTCGTGGTACTCTCTGGTTATCTCTTTAACACAGGTGCACTTTTATCCTCGAAACCAAACACCACTAACACATTACTAGGCAAGGTTTGCAGTATTAGTTCTTGAAGAACTGGGTGGCTGTTTTTATAAGTTGCTCAAAAGTAGAAGGTACTACTACCCAAGGAATTTTTTTTTATTGTGGTAAATCTCCATGGCCTGAAGCTCACCATTTTAGTCATATGTAAGTGTGTAACTCAGTGGCATTAAGTGCATCTACACATTATTTTGCAACCATCACAACTGTCCATCTCCAGGACTTGTATTCTTTCTAAATGAAAACTCAATTCCCACTAAACAGTGATTCCTATTCCCCCTCCTACTTTGCTCTGGTAATCACTATTTTACTTTCTGTCTCTGTGAAGTTGACTCTTGCAGGCACCTCGTACACGTGGAATGGTGAAACCTTTATCTTGTGTCCGGTTTATTTTACTTAGCATGTCTTTGTCTTGGTTACTTTTCCCTCATTGTTGAGACAAAATACCCAACACCCAAAAGGAAGGAAGGAAAGGTTTATTTAGCTCAGTTTGTGGAGGTTTCAGTCCATACTTAGCTGGCTCCAAGGCAGAGAGGCACATGGCAGAGGGCAACAGTTCATGGCAGCAGAAGATAGCAAAAGCAACAGGAGCAAAAAGGAAGGAGCGGCAGAGAGCAAGGCTCTTTTCCTCCCTTACATTGTCTGCAGACTACCTGCAAGGGCAGGTATAGCTCTCACACCCATGAATCAACCATAAACTCTAGAAGCCCAGCCCATGACTGCATGAGGCTTTGGGGGGACAGCCAGACACAAACCATAACAGTCTTCAAGGCTATCCATGTTGTAGCAGGAATCTGAACTTCCATTCCTTTTCCAGGCTGAGTAGTACTACACTCTGTATGAACAGCATATTTTGTTTATCCGTTCATTCATTGACAGATACCGGATGCTTTCACCTTGACTGCTTTAAATGATGTTTCTGTGAACATGAGTGTTCAAACACATTTTTGTGTCCCTGCTTTCAATTCTTTGGGAGATTAGATAGATAGATAGATAGATAGATAGATAGATAGATAGAAGGAATTCCTGGATCATTTGATTTAATATTTCATTCTTTTGAGGAACATACTCAAGGGATTTTAAACATACTAGTCTATTGAACAAAAGGGTGATTCGTTTATTGCCATATATATGCCATAGGATTCACAGGCATCAGAGAAATGGAAGTGAAAGATATGGGGTACTTGCTTTCAAGAAAAACAGGGGCTTGAGGTGAGACAGAGTTGACAATTACATAAATAATTACCTCTACATGCTTTGTACACTTCTATAATGAGACATACGTAGAGTTAGAACTACATAGTAACAATAGTTTCTGATTAACCAGGCTCTTTGGATGTTGTTTAAGATGGATGCTTACCACATTCTGGTTAATAGTGGGCGCATGGGGTGGAGAAGTTACTGCATCCGTGCATTTTTGATGCATTTGTTTTCTTGTGTTTTTGTTTGTTTGAGACAAGGTCTCACTATGTAGTTCAGGCTGGCCTTGCACTCACTATGTAACCCAGGCTGGCCTTGAACTCACAGTGGTCCTGCTTCAGCTTCCTAAGTGCTGGGACTCCTAAGGTTGTTGATTGCGTGCCTCTGCATTTGACTGTATGTTATTTTTTAATACCTAATGCGATCCATGGTTTTTTCCTGTGATCTAAATGTCCTGCTTTTATTTTTTCCTCCTCTAGTGGTTCTTAATTGCCAGTAGATCTTACAAAGTCAGTGCAGCCAGCTCCTTTTTCTTCAGTGGTGTGTTTGTTGGCGTCATCTCTTTTGGTCAACTGTCAGACCGCTTTGGAAGGAAAAAAGTCTATCTCACAGGTAATCTATCACCAGTGTTCATGAACTGATAAGAGATCTTATTTCGCTAAGATTCTTAGGGAAATGGTAAGGGGACTGTTTCCTTAAAGTTCTTGTGGGTAGAGAGTTTATTTTCCTTACACAGGGGGGAAAGTGCACTGCTGTCAGAGCTGATTCTGGCCAAGTGGTTTTCAGTGACCCATCCACCAGGTTAAGGCCATAGATTTGTGTTGAAAACATTTTGGTTTTTTTTTTTTTTTTTTTTTTTTGGTTTTTTTGGTTTTTTTCTGGTACCGGGAACCGAACTCACGACCTTGCGCTTGCCAGGCAGGCACTTTGCCACTGAGCTAAATCCCCAGCCCCTGTTGAAAACATTTTTATGTGATGGTGCTTTCTGCAGCCCCTAAATTGCTTACACTGTGTTTCCAAGGGAAGCCATGAAAGATGGAGAAAACCTTCTAGAAGTAGTCTTCACACCTCTGGGTACTGATTCATTTCAGATGGACTCCACGGAGCTTGGCATAGTTCTCTTGACACGCTAAGTATGGGCAAGGGTTTTCAGTTCCTAGCATTATGAATAATGAGAATTCTGTGTGATTGACAGAAATTGTGAAACAAAGAAAGCAAACCTGGGCATTTTTTAGTTTTCAAGAGAGGCTTAGAAAAAAACTAGCTCAGGAAATTTATGTGTACGAAGGTTTATTTTACAAACTAATGAATATAATTTATTACTTTCATCAACTGCTGTTTTACCTCTGGATGACTGAATATTGTTTCTCTCTTTCTAGGTTTTGCTCTTGACATCTTATTTGCTATTGCAAATGGATTTTCCCCCTCGTATGAGTTCTTTACAATAACCCGCTTCTTGGTGGGCATGATGAATGGAGGGATGTCGCTGGTGGCCTTTGTCCTGCTAAATGAATGTGTGGGCACCGCCTACTGGGCTCTCGCAGGTACTGCTTAAATTCATGCAGATCTGGACAGGGTGAGTGGCTCCAGAAAGAACTTGGAGGGAATCAGTCTAACCCTAGTGCCTGAAAATGCATCTGAACTCAAGGTGTCTTATCCAACTGCAGATTGAATATTGCTTATTCAAAGTGCTTAGGACCAGAAGTATTTAAGATTTCAGATTTTGAAATATTTACAAAGACATCATCAAATATCTTGGGGATGGGACCCTACTCTAAACGCAAAATTCGTTTACATTTCCTATACACCGTATACACATAGCTTGAAAGTAATTTTATATAGTATTTTTAGGGCACCTGCATTTTGCCTATGATCCGTCGCATGAAGTCAGGTGGAGAAATTTCTACTTGGTGTCATGTTAGTGCTTAAAAGGTTTCAGATTATGGAGCATTTGAATTTTCATATTAAGGATGCTCAACCTGTATTAGATTTGCTTTCCTGAGATTGACCTGCATGGGTAAGAGAAGTCATTTCACTCATATTCTGCAGCAGGAAGTTCCTCTGGTGCCTGACTCCCAGTGAGCTTGTCATCCACCCTTGACCCGTCTCCAGATGATTGTGGACAGTATCCACTTCCTAGAACAGAACTAACTGCTCTTTACTCAGAGTGGGAAATAGTACCGAGATAGGAGTACAAGAAACCCCTTTCTTGAAACCTTCTTGTTACATTTTCTTCAATCCTTGTCCCATGCCCTTTCTCATTTTTACTCCTCTGCTCAAATCAGTACGTGGCATGATTGTAGCATTACTTTACTGATGCTGCATACCCTAACTGAGGCCGTGTTCTGCATTCTCCTTAACAAACGCATCATCTCCGCAAGAACTATTTCTATAGTGAAGTAAACGATTATAAAAGTTTAGTTGACTTAAAATATTATCTTGGGAGAGTGGCTGTATCTAAAGACTCTGCTTTTTACATTATAGGATACATTGATCACTTTTTATCTTGCTTTTATAACTTGACAATCACTGATTACCACTGATGGTCTTGTGCCCATAGGGAGACATATGGACTGTGTGACTGATAAAAATGTAGCATATGAGAAGGGGAACACGGGGAGGGGGAGAAGGGACAAGAAGAAAAAAGAATAGAAGGAAAAACTGGAAACAAAGCTTTTGTAAGTAAAGAGGAGAAGTGGGGCTGAAGGGAGGAGAGAGGAATGGGAAAGGAGAGAAGCAAGATATGCCCTGTACAGGTACAAATTCCTACGAAGAATGTTGTCACTGTGTATATCTAAAATGAATCAACAAAATAAAAAGAAAAAAATGCATCTGAGCGAGGGTGTATATGAGAGACTGCTGTGTCTCTCTTTAACGCCCAGGGCCAGCTAGCATTTGCTGAGCATCTGTTACATGCCAAATACCACCCCAGACAAGTGACATTTATCTGTATATTTTCAGAGCTTACTGTTAATGAGAATTTCCACCCTCACTGTATGGATCAGGAAACTGAACCTCCGAGCGGGGAGGTGACACGTGCCCATAGGTCATGGCTGATAGGGCCTGCTGCAGCCCAGGTCTGGCTGACACCTAAGCACATATCTTCCCACTGTCCCTGAGGACTGTCCTTGTGGGACTTCAGCATGCCGCCTCACGGAGCCTGGTCAACCCATGATTCCTAACTGGTGCTTTGGAGGTTGTGCGGGCTCTTACATTGCACCAGGAGACAAAGGCTAAATAAAATAGACTCCCGCTCAGTTTATATGTCCTTGAAGCTGCCGTTGAGCTGAAGGATGTGCAGGACCAGCTCCATCCTAGATGGACAGACTTTCTGCTGGCCCCTCACATAGTGTGTTTATGATTTACTTCCTCCAGAGAAGTTTTCACAGCCTTTTGGGACAAGCTCCTTTTTTCCTTTAGCTCAGCTCCTACCCTAGGACTCGTGAGCAAACCTCATTTGAGTTTTCATTTTTCTTTTTCTTATTTATTTATTTTTTT